GTATAGGTTTCCTACCTTGGTGCACTTCTGAAGTTTCCTACATTCATGAACCAATATGTAACATCATACAGCTATGGCTCTGCTTACTTACAGTAGCAGTGCACATAGTAATCCTTTACAGTTTTCTTTATCCCATTACAGATTTTTTTTTTTAAATGAACAAAAGAATGGGGCTGGGAAAGCACAGTTATTCTGTTAATAAACCAATAAAAACCCCCACAAACACATTTGGGTGGTCTCTTGAAGCTTAAAAGGAAAATATTTATCCTTGTGCTTATATATGGAAGAGAGAAATTATATAGTCTTGAAGGCTTTTATAGGCAGTAAATCAAACTGATTGCATATTTTCATCACTCTAAAGCTTTCATTAGGAATGAGTAGTTAAGGTTTTGATGGGAGCTTTTACTTAAAGTGATTGAGTTGCTATAACTGAGATTGCATAAGCTCCATTTCAAGAGGTTTCCTAAGGTAAGTGCCTGAGTCATGCTGATGTGAAGAAACAAGAGAGGTTCTTAAAACACAGCAGCAAGGAAGTTTATTAGTAGTTCAGAACTGTTACACTGACAGCAAGTGGAATAACTTTAAGGCTGGCAGGACAAACTTTTGCTGAAATGTTGCATATAAGACTTTCTCCCGTGGCTGATGTATATGAGGGCACTGGGAGCAAGAGGTGACTTCCGCTCTTCATGACTGGATGTCATCCTTCCTGGCCATGAATAAAGTTGGAGAAAATCATATCTGAGCAAATTATATGCTGATCTACCCTGTTAGAGAAGTGGTCAGACATTGAATACAGTGCTAGCACTTGCTGTCCAAACCAAGCAAGAGCGTGGGCATGGACGAGCACCAGTGCAATGGCAGCTCGCCATGGATTGCAGCAAAGCAGAAGTGACTTGCACAAGTGCAATACTAGTATACATTTTAATGACTAAATACAGTAACAGAGCTTTTATGATATGCTTTAGATGTCTACAAAACAAGCGCATGTACAATCATTGCTGTGATTACAGCCACTATCTAATTTTATCCTCTCACATTGTTTAAGCGTGAGCTATCATATTTAGCCCACCTTCTTCCTTGACATAATCAGATTTAGCATCCTCTACATTTTTATCTAAAGAGAGAGAAGAAAAATAAACACACAGCCAACAGAGAAAAAAGTTCTGCATATGAATACGAAATAAACTGTGGTCACTTTGCCTCCGTGGGCTCATGGATGAGCGAGTACAATGACAGAGCGATGTGTGTGTTCTTGCATGTAAATCATATTTCTGCAGGTGCTAGTTCTGCAGCTTAATGAGGGCACCAAGGGAAAGCGTGGTGCCCACTAAGGAGAGCACGCTCCTTGGCTGTCACTCCTGCTTGAGAAAAAGCGCAGTTGATGGGAATTAACTGATCAATCTTAGGGAAAGCTAGTATCAAGAAAAGAGGAAGAGTCACAAGACAGAAACAGAGCATGAAATACAGGGTAACTAGAGAAAGAACAGTGTTGCTAAAACTGAACATAATTCCCCAAGATAGTTAGGTTCTGAGTCTGTGCAACTGGGAACAGCTTCGTCTCCGTCTCTTCTGTGTTTTCATGACAAAATGAACACTGGGATCCTTGGGTAAACCTTCATCACTGCTAATTGATGTAGCTCCATGGAGAGAAGCATAATTTGCACGATATCCTTTGGGCTATGGGACATAGGGAAAATTCTCTTTTCCCTATTCCACTGAAGTAGTCAGATTCTCCTCTGAGGTATATTTTTTTGATCCAGAAGTACAGTTTTGCTCTTCAGTCTTTTTATCTTTTACTTTCTAATTTTTTCCTAAGACTAATGCAAGGGAGATCACAAGTTATAACTAAAGACAAAACATCAGAAGCAAGCTTTGTCAAAATAGATATTTTCGGAGCTATAGTGGCTTATTTACTTCTAAATACCTCTTGAATCAATTATAGCTGGAAAAAGAATTATTACTTTTAAAAATAGTATTATATTTTTGTTATGTTGATTGTTATTGTTATATTTACTCTTATTATGGCATATAATTAGTAAGGGCTATGTCTCCTTTCCTTGCTAAACCCTTTCTCACGCAAAATTCTGAGTTTCATAGATATTCTGCTTGAAGATTATGTGATATATTTGGTTTTTATTGTGCCATAACAGAAGCAACAAAATACAAAAACCCGTAATGAAATGTTACACAAAAAGGACACAGACCTTAAGGTGACACAAATAGGAAAAATATAATAAACCATGTGTCATGCTGCTGCAGCTGTTTCACCTCTTACCAATTTTCACAGTCTATAAAACCTTGGAAAGCACCAGATGTTTAGGGGAAGCTGTCCCATTCTCCCTAGCTTTTAAAGTGGATGCAAGATTTATTAGCACTATATAAATGTGATTTCAGTCCTGAGTTTTGTATTTATAAACTAGGTGGAATATGTAATGTATCCTGTTGTCAGAGACCCATTTATGTTCCTCTGCTCCTCCTCACCTGTAGGCTTTGGGCACGGCTGAAGAATTAAAGTAGCTACAGAGAAATACTAGAACATATATACCAAGCTATGATATTTTCTTAGAGACAAACACATCTAAGAGTTTTCTCTCAGTACAAACTTTTGCCAAAAAGACCTTGCAATACACAGATTAATAGCTAAGCAAAACTGTCTTGTTGTGTATGAATATGCACTAACATTTGGGAATCCTGCCTACGCAGAGACTGTTGGTGCACAAAATTATTTTCTTTGCCTAGTGCATGGTTCCTAACATTGGAACAGGGATAAAGACTGCTCATGCATAGTTTCCAATCTTTCATAGCTCAGTGGTGCTGCAAAATGTTGCCATTCGTTTTAATTCAGTGAGTAGAGGTTTTGTTGTGTTTAGTACTAAGGGAATTGCATGTGTTATTAGAAAGCCTCTGACAGCTGTCAGAGACAGAGACAACTCGCTGCATTTCATTCTCACATAAAGGAAGGACTAAGGACCCTCATCTTCAGCAGAGCTGTCAGAAGCCACACCAAATAGGATAAAACAGAATACCTTTTTCAAACATAGGAAAGTCTCTCTATATGTGTCTGTTCCTTCCCTATCAAGTTGTACATGGAAATTGTATAGAGAGAAGAAAGAAAATACCTCCTGATGTATTTGTACTTTACACTGCCTTGCCGTCACTTACCTGAAGGCATAATTGCACAGCAGCTTTCTTTCCTTTAAGGAAGCACACAGTGTATTACATGATGTTTAATACTTAATTAGGACTATCTTTCAACATCATTACAACTTTTCATACAATTTTTCTTTTGTGAGAGCGGGAACAATCAGCATATGCACGACGCATGAAGACGAGGGCTTTCCACCAAAGACACTAAAATCCCAAATCTATAAGCACTTGTACACTGGCAAATGCACAAATACTCCCTGCTTAGCAGTCTCACCGAATTCAAAGCACTGGGAAAGAAAATCTTAAGACATTAAACCTTAAATTCCAGCTTTTCTTTTGAACAGGCCTTATTTACCTTAATAAAAACTGTGCTTTTTTCTTTAATTAAAATGCATTTCTAAAAGCCTACATTATCTTCTTTTTCAGAATTGCTTACAGTTTGCACCTGGTTTACTGCCAAAAGGGAGTTAGTTTCCACAAAGTCTTCAGCAGCAGGTAGGCATTGCACTCCCATCTGCTGCTACTCAGCATTCTTATGGATCACCTTCTCCAGCCTACTCTTTCCTTTCACACCAGTAATCCCATGCGTATCCCTCCCATACAGCACTGCTTCTCCTAGTGGCTCCTTTAAATAGTTCAAGGGACTGAGAAGGCATGTTCATTAGTGTTAATTATTTATGCTATTTTTAAAAATACCCAATACTCCTTTTCATTTTGCTTAGTCTGATTCATTTTTTCATCCTGTTTTCTTCTCCCTGCCATCTTGCACCACTTGTATGCTGAGTAAAGTGAAAATGCATGAGTCAAAGTCGAGCTTTCAAAGTCATGTTGTTCGATGGGATTTGAAAAGAAAGCAAAATGAGATTGCCCCTATATCATCTTTCCAAAAGTAGAAACAAGAATTTCCTTCCTTCAGTTATAATAAACACACTTTTCTCTCTTGTTTTACAGCTGCTTCTATCTGCCAAAAATCAAGTTTAGGCTTTCTATATTGATGATGTTCATTAATGACTGATATAAATAGCTGCTTCTGGTCTTTCTACATTATCATTAGCCATATCTAATTCTGCATTCCACCTCTTCTGCATCTTAGCCTTGCATATGATGAAAAGGTACTTGAGGGTCTTATTTCTGTGTTAAACATTACTCTTCTGGAGTCCTTTTGCTCCAGGATATATGAATGGCTGTTTAAAGAGATTTCTTTCTCTTTTTTATTAGTTTACTCTAGTAAGAATTATTTAAATACAGCTGTAATAGCAATTTCCCTTAAATACAACTTTTCTATACTCCATTCTAACATATTGATTGCATGTCTGATGTTTTCTACACTGAAAGGAAAACATTAACATGTTTTAACTCAGAAAAGAGAATTAAGAATTTGCCATGCATGTAACTTCTTAAGTTCTTTGCTTATTATTTTAGCATTTAGGTAGTAACAAAACTAAGAAAAGCAGCAGTTACACTGTTGACTGGTTATTAAACAGTGGTATTATCTTTTCAGCTTTCAAGAGCCTAATTTTCAGTTCCAAAATACACAGTTACACTATTTTTCCCACATTAAGCTTGTTGTTGTATCCTCAGCCAGAGCTTCCTCGCCACATTTCATGTATCATGTAATAAGTCAGCTCAGAAACCTTAACATCACACCATTACTATTATGCATGTCATAAGAATGGCTCTGGGATGGAACAATCATTTCTTTCTGCAACCCAGGAAGATCAGTGAGGAAGTGATAATCATCTACAATTGTTTTTTGATGAATATTGACCAACGGTATGTTCTAACCTCACAAAACTCTGCAGATATTTGCTATTACCAGCATTTCCTTCCCCTAATATTTAAACTCTTCTTACCTATGAACAGATTCCACTCAGTATCCAAATCAGCCTGATTTGCTAGGCAGCCCTTCATTACATTGAGGCAATAGTTGTTGCAAGGTTTCACAGTGGGAAGTCCTCTGCAGTAAGGGCAGTACAACATCTTCATTAGCGCCCGGATGCACCCTGGGGTGGGACTGACCTGCAGAGTTTAAGGGGGAGGAAAGAAAAAGAAAAAGGAGTATATCAATCTCCTGCCCTGTGAACGTTGGGGCAGCTGAGGTTATGCTTCTCAATAGTTAATGCAGAAGGGGCACTTTGTGCAGAGAGCTCAACCCTTGACAACACCCTCCTGTGAGACTAATCGATTCCTACCAATTATCTCCATTTAGCACAGCCAGCAGTGATTTTCAGAAATGTAAAAATCAACACTCCCGTACTGATGGCAGTGTTTTCCACCACAGCCCTCCCACACAAAATCTATAGGAACATACCCCCAAAAGAAGTTGGACAATAACTGACTGACCTAATGTAGAGGATCCTGAAGGGAGACGTGTTCTTCTTAATCCTATTAGACCTGCCAGTCTAGACATTGTTACTGGATCAGATTCTCCTCTTTATTAACACACAGTAAATCCCAGATAATCCTGATCATTTCTATAAAATTATTCAGAACTACACCATGGAAAAAGGATATCATTCTCTTTCAGTCAAAGCCACCATTCTATCTTCTCAGACAACTTTACAAAGAGAACAGAGGGGTTTTGTGTGGTTTTGCCCTTCAATATCTCAAGTGACAACAGCCTGATGCATTTCAATTTACATATCGGTATGGCACAAAATGGCTCTGAATAGCGAACTGAAAACAGCCATCAGAGTCAATGGCAAGACACTCACTGAGTTTAGGAAGCTTTCAGACAAAATTATTAATCCTGGGCATAATTAACAGAAGAAAGTAGTGTGTATACATAAATTCAGAGTGATTATATAATATAGTTTACACTGAAAGGGGTATGGATTTCCTGCAGAGAGAGAATGAAGTGTAAGGAAGTGTTTTTTAATAAGGATCCTCCATTATTTTTAGTGATAGGATCCTTCATCTCACTCTTCTCAGCTATTAAAAGGCCAGGCATCTCTTCAGTGATGTGTCTTCCATATTCAAAGGAGACAAATAGGTCCACTTTAGGGAGGTTTCCTTGCCCACCTATGGAAAGCACAAATCATCTTCTGGAAGGCATTCATTCAGGTTTCTATATCTAATTTAGACTGCACGAATTGGTCACATTTGATAGAAGTGTGGAGCTCCTTAGGTAAATGTTATTTCCTTCTTCCTCTCATTTTTGTATTTAATTGTTTGATCTCAGATCTTTAAAATCTTATGTACTATTATAACATGTATTTCCCAGGACAAAAACTTGATCTTGGATTAAAAGTACTAAACAAATGTTAGGTACTACTTGCAATATTCTCTTGTCATAGTGATGCAGAGCATGTGTTTCTTATGCCACAGTGGCAATACAGAACAATGACAGAAAGGCTTCAGATTCCTTGATGATTTAAGAATTTCTGGAGAGTGCAAAATAATGGCATTCCTTTTATTCATTCTGTTGGTACATGAATAAATGCAACACTTTTCATATGAATTTGAAAGGATTAAAACATTTTTCTATGTTAATGGTAATTTATGCTAAAACAGGTGAAAGTATGCATCTGGCAACACCGTAACAGTTTCTGATACGTTTTTTATTATTGGAATTGTACTGAAGTAGTACTTCTTTCCTTTTTCTTTGAGATTTCTTTTCCACTTTTTGATATTAAAACACTGGTTCTAGAACACTATACAGCACATATTCTTTATGATTGACCTTTTTATATGAGCCTGGCTGTTAAAAGTTATAGCTGGTGCCTCTGTATATGCTCAGAGGTGATTTTTAACTTGGCTTCCTAGGGAAATTCACTGAACTTGCACAACACTCTCGTGCTGTGTGTGAGGGTATATTTCTCTGTCCTTTCCTAATAGCTTTTGAAGCTGTTGGCCAATTTCAATCAGATTTGACTGAGGAGTTCAGATCTCAGTACATTAAGGTCCTACAAGTTTTTTTGGAAATAAGACAGTTGGGAGAAGAAAAGAGACAGGTTTTATTACTGCTTTTATTGAGGAAAAGATTGAAGCATGAGGTCAGTTCTTCACAGATTCTAAAGAATCCATGTGGAAGAAAAATATTATGAATGCCTCAGAAGATAAAAAAGCACCAGTTGAAATTTTCACTTCACTAAATATCGGAAAATCTAAATAGAAGGTACATATCCAGAGAAAAATATACTTCACTAATTTCACTGCTCTGAACTAATTTTTTGAGTCACTTATCTAACTTTTTTTTATCTTTGCACCTCCAAACCTACAGTAGGCTGATTTTTACAAAAAGACATAGTTACCAGAAGTTGGATGTAAGCAAAAAGTAGATACCTATGGTTAATGGTACAATGTTCAAAATAACCGCTAAAAGCCAGAGAGAGATGTTTCTGTTTTGGGACATTCAGGGTTGTCAGCAAAATTTCCTTCATGCCTAGAATTATGTTTTTTCCTAGGCTCTAAAGTCTTCTCAATGCAAAGTTGTCAGCACCCGATAAGGTCAGCTGAAATTCACATATTCCATAGATAGGAATCCATGTCCTCTCTGGCCTCCCTTGTGCTGAGAGAATATACATCAAAGGATCTTGGCCTTTCACAAAAGCTTCCTGGTAATTCCTTTTTTTCCAGAAGCTGAGCTAGAAAATACAGTTCCTAGTTTTAAATTATATCAACCATATATCATAAATGTGTGAAGTCCTTTGGGTATAGGTTATTTCCTTGTCCTTTTACAAGTTTATTCTGAGAGAGAACTATCTATGAGCTCTTTCTCTGTCAGAGGTTCAAACAGTATCTTTCACTCTCTAGGACAGGACTCTAAAGACAAATCAGAATATTTTTTTACACTGGTCCAGTGAATCCTGAAATCTTTTCATTGCCAGGCAGAACAGCTTTAACAAGAGTGTTTCTAGGAAGAGTCCACTTCCAAGGAGTCAAGATAAATTCTTACTGCTGAAAAAGAATGAACTGAACTTAGGTTTCTCATATCTTATCTGAAGAGTTTAATACCTACTGTACAAAACAGTGACATGATCAACAGCACTTTGGAAGAAAGGAATATCCTCTGCTGCTTCTAAGTAATGCTGCTTCTAAGACAAAAGGCCAAGCTGTGATTCCAAGCAGAAAGTAGATACAGAAAACTTTTACAGACAGGTATCTTCAACCTCCAACACAGGCAGCTGCCTACTGAACATGCTAGAAGTTGTTGTGTTTTTGAAATAAAATGCAAGTATGGATCAATTCCTGTCTCTGAGGCCAAGTAGCAGGTACTGGCTTGCATTGACCATATTTAGGACTAGCATCTTCTGGTCCAAACTGGTTCATGTGCCTTACTACATAATTCTTGTCCCTATTTCTCCTCTGGGCCCTACATGGCTCCTGAGTAATTTAAAGACATAATAATTGTTTTTTGTGATGGTTATTTTCCAGCTCAATGTGTTTGAAATAATATGACGCAGCACTGCAGGAAACTACAGGAGCTGCTGGAAAATAAGTTCAACATTGCATGTTTTGATGTGAGACAGGAGCTTACATTTTCCAGAAAAGCAAAAAAGTGATAGAAAGTGATAGAAAGGCACTCAGGAGGCAAAACAGGACAGGTGTCTTCATGTGGCAGTGAAGGCAATGCCTGTAGTGAAGTGCCCTGCAAACAGTGCTGAGACTTTGCTCTGGAGACAGACAGCCGGGGGGGTCCAAAATGGACCCAGTGGTGGCTTAAAAATTGAGCTGTAACCTGAGCACTTGATGAGTCCAATTCTCAAGCAGGCTCCAAATCTACTCGTTTTTTAGCAGTACTAATATATCTTTACATACCCCATTTTCTATGGAAAAGGGGAGTTAGAAAATCAGCTTCTTTGGAGGTGTGAGGAATAGAAGTTAAACGGTGTATTAAAACAGTTAGGTGCCTCTGTGAATCTAGCCTTCAGAAAGGAGCCAAGTTTCAATTCCCAGTAACTCTTTTTTTTTTTTTTTCTTTTTCAGACAATGTAGTCAGGCCTCTTTCCTCCCTTAACAACAGCTCAAGTATCTGCCAGGCAAAAAACTGTCACACTTCACTGTTACATTAAAAGTCCTAGTAAAAGAACAAACATAAAATTCAGTGTAGACTGCATTTCAGAAAGCTATGAACATGTGAAATCTGGAGATTATCAGAGAAAGTCATTTTTCAGCCATATAAAATTTGCTTGCTACTACTTGCTGCTGGCAAATTCTATGAAATGTATTTTCAAAGACCATTTCTCATCCCATTTTCCAAAAAAATTCCTATAACCAGAATTTCTCTCATCTAGTAATACTTTTCTGTAGACCATTTAAAAGACTTCAGTTTAGAAGCATTCTAAACATGAAAAACAAGAAAACATTGAGAAGCATTTGCTGAGGAGAGCTCAGCATTTTCATCAGTTTTGTTTTAAATCAGATTTGTAGGTAAATAGAACAAGGTAACATTTAGTTTGGGCTTTTTTTGTGTGTTTTAAAATAATATATAATTGGTTCTATGCTAATAAAAGCAGACAAATTTGCACAGACTTCAGAGTTTAGAAGTAATATGATTTGTGAAAAATCATATATTATAAATCAATCACATCACGCTGAATGACATAACTGGAGAAATACCTATAGAAGAGTCATTAATTAAATCATGTTGTCTCCCTGACCGACTAGGTCATCCTCATTTTATTGTAAGCACGCACAGATTGTAGCACATCAGAAAAGTGCCCTTCTGACCTTTGACTAAGCTTAGTAGCTGCAGGACATGTTACTTTGCTGCATTTTGTTACATTTTCTGACAGCTTCAGCTTTACCTAAATGCATGTTTTTGCATACATGCAAAAAATCTAAGAGTAAGATTGTTAAGTGCTTCATTACTGAACACGTTGTTTTTCCCCACAGAAATTCTAGAAGGACTATTCTTTCATCCAGAAGACAGACTTCGCAATAATAAACTTGCAAATATAAATAATTGAGGAGAGAACTTTCTTGGGTAAAAGTCATGAAACTGTACTCCCTCACAGCATCACAAGGTCTCTGCTTTGTTATGTACTTGACCTGTTTTTCATAATCAAAAGCCTGGG